TCATGGAGGGCACAGGCGACTTTCCTCTTTCGATAGGACGTGTTGTTACTACGCTCTGCTCAAGTCATCGAGCATCGAGATAACCAGACGGTTTAATGAGAAGTTGAAAGGAAAGCATACGATGTCTGGTGTTTTGAAGACGACACTGACGTTGATGGTGTTTTTCAGGACCATATGGAAAGACTATGGATGGGACTGGGCAGTGTTTAAGAGGAGACGCTGGGGTGAGGGCAAGGACTCGAAGAGAGATGCATCATATGGTAAGGGATGAGATGGGCCGAATTGGATGGAGAATCAGTATGGAGTAAGTACTCTCTCTGCATTCGCACACCTTGGAGCAAGGTAATTCGGAAGGCCGAGTACATGGAAGTGCTGCAAGTTTATCGGCGTCTCTCGGTGCGGCAGTCGAGGGAATGAATCCGCTTTTTGCTCCCTTGGGCACACGGCAAGGGCCCTGGGCTTCAGGTGATCGTGGGTACTTTAGGTACGTCTCCACCTTTCAAAGGTGCATGAGACCGGGACCCCCCCAACCCGGCCAAAGATACCGGCACGTTAAACACGACAACAACACACTGCACACTGCACAGGATGGACCTTGGCACCCACCACACACCTCACGCTTTCAACAAGGGACGGATGTCTAAGGGAGGGGAGATGGGCAGTCACACATTTCGACCTGCACTAGACACACTAGAGACTGCTAGCAGCAACGGTCGCTAGACTTATCGGATCCGAACCGTCAAACCCAACGTCCGCCCGTCCTTTCCTTGTCCCGCCCGGCACATGATCGCCTGAATGGGAACGGCGACGGGGCCTTTTGCCAGGTTATCGAGGGAGGTTACAGCAATGGCCTGCTGGAACGGGTCTCGAGTGCCGCCCGACATGTGAGTTGTTATCGGTCCCTTGAAGAATACGCATAGCAAATGGATATCTGACTCCCATGTCTATCAGTCTATCTACAATATCATGACGCGGTTAGCAGCAATATTGGACTGCCAAGTCATCCCTCGCTTCTGATTCATCTCGATATCAAGGCTGCCTTATCATCCCAATTTCAGCATACCCTGAGGCTGAATTCAACAACCAAGCCCAAAGCACTGACAAGTGCCAAACAAAGCTGGGGAAATGTCTTGGAGGCGGGTGCTTAGTCCTGTTGTTTGCCACGAGCTGGGCGCTTGTTCGAGCGAAGCATCTGCGAACACCCCCGACAACCTAGCTCGCGCTTCTCATCCTCCCTCTGAGCATCAAATCGGAGCCCATCCTGCCGAGGGGAATACGCCCTCCCTCGCGGTCATCGCCCTCCAGAACTCCAAAAAGCTAGCACTGGCCTGCCCAATGGCGATAGCAACTGACCCCAAATTGCAACTCCCCGCACCCTGATGGCAACCACACCACAATCTCCAAATCCAATCAGATATCGACATCACCGGGCGCCATGTGACGCAAGATTGCATCTGGCAAGGGCAAATGCTCATCTCTCAGACTGGCTCGTCACTTTCTCTAGAGACGCGAGAGTTGACCGCTTGCTGCCTCGCGTGCCTCGCTCCCTTCGCCGGGCCCCTCAGGCCTTCTCTTGCCCTCTCCGGTCTCTCTAGTTCGCTTCTCTGCCCTGATTTTCCATCGAGAATCGAGTATTCATGCCCCCCCCCCCCCCCCCCCCCCCCCCCCCCCCCCCCCCCCCCCCCCCCCCCCCCCCGCCCCCCCCCCCTTCTCTTCCCCTCCCCCCCCCCCCCCCTTCTCCTCTCTCCCCTGTTTTTCCACCGAGAATCGAGTATTCATGCCCCCCCCCCCCCCCCGGCCTCCTCACTTGGGAATACCACCTGCCAGCTATCCAATGTTGCGAGGCCCTTCAGGAGACACGGGCAAATCATCGCGTCCGAACTATCGGCATACTTTCCCCTTCCCGTAGGACCGGCATTATGATGGCCAGGTACCCGTCCTGTTTGTTAGTCAGAAGCTCGGCTAGCTCACAGGAGCTCCAAAGAACATGGAGGGGAAGACGATGTCCATGAGCCACGAGCTCGTCGAGGCAGGCCATAAAAGAGCGGGTGACACGCCATGTTTGCCCGCAGTTCTCGAGCTTGGAAGCTTGAGTTCATAGACTGATTGCCCATGATGCCTCGTCACTCTCGTGCTGGCCTTGAGATGCCCAGACGCTCGTTCTTCGCCGTCTTTGCCTTGATTTCGTTCGTGCTGCTCGTCACCATCAGTCTCTCCCAGCTAGGCACTCGACAAGGTGCCACCCTCAAGTTTGAACGCAATGCCGAAGGAGAGTGGCATGCCAAACCCAAGACGCGTGCCGCGGCGGGCGACAAGTACCTCCTAGGTGTTGGCAAGGCTGACATCACCGGTCCTGTCGTCGAGATTGGCTTTGCAGGGTACGCTGATCTGAGCCAGGTTGGAACCGGCTTGAGACAGCGGATCTACAGCCGTGCTTTCATTGTCGGGGATGTGAGCAAGCCGAGCGATCGCTTCGTCTATCTTGTGCTAGATACTCAGAGTGGTGACACGGCCGTTCGCAAGGGCATCCTCGAGGGTGTTGCAGCTCTTGGTTCGGGATACTCCGTGTATAACAAGAACAACGTTGCCGTGACCGGTACTCATAGCCACGCTGGCCCAGGAGCTTGGTTCAACTACCTCCTGCCGCAGGTCACTAGCTTGGGTTTCGACAAGCAGAGCTATCAGGCTATTGTTGACGGTGCAGTTCTCTCCATCAAGAGGGCGCACGAGTCCCTACAAGAGGTATGGTGGTCATCTTCGAGAGACTTGCCAATTGACTAACACTCCTAGGGATACCTCGACGTCGGAACCACCGAAGTCACTGACGGCGCCATCAACCGCAGCTTATATGCCTACCTCAACAACCCCGCGGCAGAGAGGGCCAAGTACAGCGCTACCACCGACACAACCCTGACCCTCCTCCGCTTCCAGCGCGCCTCTGATGGCAAGAACATGGGCGTCCTCACCTGGTACCCAACCCACGGCACGTCGATCTTGCAGAATAGCACGCACGTAGCGGGCGACAACAAGGGTGTCGCGGCGTATCTTCTCGAGAAGGACCTCGCGAGTGACGCGAGCGCCGCACCAGGCTTCGTAGCCGGCTTCAGCCAGGCGAATGTGGGTGATACCACGCCCAATGTACTCGGCGCCTACTGCGATGACGGTTCCGGCCAGCAGTGTAGTCTGGAGAACAGCACCTGTGCCGACGGCAAGAGCCAGTCGTGCCACGGTAGAGGTCCCGCGTTCCAGAAGTTGGATCTGGGTATCTCGAGCTGCTACGAGATTGGACGTCGTCAATACGCCGGTGCCAAGTCTGTCTATGTAAGTGATCAGCCTGATGCGGGATCCAACATGGCTAATGCTCCTTTTTAGAATGCTCTTGCTACGACTTCCACTCCTGTCACTGGCACCAGCGTCAAGTCCTTCCACTTCTTCCAAGACATGTCCTACTTCAAATTTCCCCTCGCAGACGGCACCATCGGCCAAACCTGCCCTGCTGCGCTCGGCTACTCCTTCGCTGCGGGAACTTCGGACGGACCCGGCGCCTTCGACTTCACCCAGGCCGACTCTGGCACCCCCGATGCCAACCCTCTCTGGGCAGTCGTCTCCGGTCTTCTCAGAACACCCAGCGCTGAGCAGGCTGCGTGTCAACAACCGAAGCCCGTGTTGCTAGACGTTGGTGAGATGAGCACCCCGTATGCTTGGAGCCCCAATATTGTAGACATTCAGATGCTTCGTGTTGGACAGCTGGTCATCGTCGTTGCTCCCGGTGAGGCTACGACAATGAGTGGGCGGAGATGGAAGGCTGCTGTCAAGGAGGCTGCGAAGAGTATTATTCCTAATGATCCTGTTGTTGTCCTTGGTGGTCCCGCCAATACCTATGCCGTAAGTTTTGCAAGCTTCCTTCTCTTGATAGTCACTGACAGTTTCCAGCACTACATCGCGACCCCCGAAGAGTACGCCATCCAACGCTACGAGGGTGCGTCGACCCTCTTCGGACCCAATACTCTTCCAGCCTACATCAACCTTACCGTCTCCAACATCGCCTACCTCTCCCCCTCTTCCACGTCCACACCCGCAGCGGGTCCCTCGCCTCCAGACAACCGAGCCAACTCCCTCTCCTTCATTACTGGCGTTGTCGTAGACGGTGCGCCAGCAGGCCGCTCCTTCGGACAGGCCATCGGACAACCGTCGGCGTCGTATACTCGCGGTGCGGTAGTCAATGCCACGTTCCAAGCCGCGAACCCGCGGAATAACCTTAGGCTCGAGGGCACGTACGCCGCGGTCGAGCAGCTACAGAGCGGAAAATGGGTGCAGATCAGGACCGACGCGGATTGGTTCCTTGTGTACACTTGGACAAGAACGAATTTCTTGCTCGGGTATAGCGAGGTTGTGATTAGTTGGGAGACTGGAACCAGTGATGGGGCTGGGCCGGGGACGTATCGCATCAAGTACTATGGTGATTCGAAGCCGTTGATTGGAAGTATCTCGGCTTTTGAGGGAACAAGTGGAAATTTCACGTTAGTTTAGGGAAGGGTCATAGGGGTTGACGATGATTATGGATTATGACGGTTGGGTTTTCGTAGTCATGAATCGTAATGTCTTTTTCTCATGGATGCCTACTGCCCTATTTCTTCCAAAGCTGAAGCTGACTCTTTCCAACGCTCGTTGGTCAGCCAACCCATCGTGCACAATGAGGCAGTCACATTCGAGTACGTATTTCTTCATACATTCAGAAGGCGGCCTATCACCACTCAGCCTGCCTGCAGTTGGAACCACGAGGACTCCTCAAGGATAGGTACATAAGCACCTCCCACCCCTTCGCCCGAAATCATTCAACGGGCTACACTCTCCATCAGCATCCACCTCCCAGCCTGATTGCAAGCATATTTTTCGTGAGTTCACTGCCGATTTGATTTTCTGAGGAAACGAACTGATGGTTAAACCAGGAACTAGACCAATCCAAATCCACATAGGCAAATCCTCATAGGCAGCTTGACATGGATTCCGAAGAGTCTGAAGGATCTTACTCCTCGATAAACGATGGCCTTTGTGACATGTGCTATGATGCTGTTGTTTTTGACGACAGCGACGACAAGTTCTACGAGGGCACGAACAGTGACGATGAGCCTACCCTGCGGCATTCGGAGGTGCGGAGCGATCCAGTCTTCTTGAAACCCACTCTCTATTGGGAAGACACACTACCCGACTTGCCCCTGATGGCTGAATTCGCTGCTGGCGGGTGCCGTATGTGTGGTTTCCTCCGGGAAGAGCTCATACGACAGAAAATATGTCACGTTGGCGACATTCGTATCGGTGCGGGATATCTGTTTGGCGGACAGGGACATGAGCTCGAGATCATCGACACAGATCCTGGCTTGGCCTTCTGGAGATGCGATGTCTACGCGGTCAAAAGAACGACCAACAATCTTGACAAGCTACATCGAATTGCAAATCTTTATTTTGACATCGAGTCTAGCGACCGTAAGTTCTTCAATAATTTTTGCTTTGACTGGACTCTGAACTCCACGTGAAAGGTGATTTGCTCCGATGGCTGAGGGTGCATGCGAAGTCCGCCCCCGGACCATTGGACCCGGCCAGTGTTGAATGGCTCCAAACACAGCTCCGACAATGCGACTATCACTGTGGCCTTGGGAAGCCAGAGGTGCCATTCTTACCCACCAGACTGATACATGTCGGTCAGAACGAGGATGACGCACCTCGACTTGTCATCGTTGAAAACATGCTCGAATCTGGTATGATCGATGCTCTCGACTATGCGACACTGAGCTATTGCTGGGGATCCAAAGAAGACGCTCTCAAGCAGACAAAAACCACAAAAGACACCATTTTGACCCATTGTCAAGGGATGCCTCTTGACTCCTTAAGCCCCGTCATACAGGACACCATCAAGGTCTGCAGGGCGCTCGGTATATTCTACCTCTGGGTTGACGCTTTGTGTATCATTCAAGAAGACAATGTAGACTGGGACCGAGAGAGTCAAATGGTGGGACAGATCTACCATTCTTGTTGTGTGACCATCTGCCCTCTCTCTTCACGATCTTGTCTCGAGGGCTATCTGGGACTAAGGCCGCAGGGGTTGGAAGTTGAATTTCAATCATCTCGCCACGAACATATCAAAGGCATCTACAGACTTGTTCGCTCTCCTACAGACGCTGACGAATATGATGTACAAAACGAAGCAGCGCTTCGCAGGGACCTCAAGCGATCCTCTTGGCATAACAGGGGCTGGACCTTTCAAGAGAGTATGCTTTCACCTCGCATGATATATTTCGGGTCAAACATGAGCCATTTTGTCTGCGAAAACCTAATAACATCTGAAAACGGAGATATCGACCACAATTCGATTTTCGGCCTACTGCAAGTTGCAATTCGGAGAGCTTTTGGAAAGCCTTCCGAGCAGTCGGATCGCTCAGCGACTGTCAAGATCGATGTGTACGGCAACTGGGAGTCTGTGCACGAGGTCGGTAGAAGGGCCTGGACATATCGCGAGGACATTCTGCCCGGACTTGCCGGTATCGCTAAGGCATTCGCAACACTTACGGGCGACACATATCTGGCAGGCTTATGGAAAGACGATCTACATATACAGCTGCTTTGGTACATGCTACGACCACCAGCCGGTGAATTGGCCTCAGTTGTGCACAGCTTGCAGCACACAGATCCGTACGTCACGCCGTCATGGAGCTGGGCTTCACAAACAGCGTACCAGGAGGAGTTGACGGAAAGAGAAATTACTACAGAGGGAATCGAGGTGGAAAAAGGAAATTGGTCACGCTTTGAATCTTTCAAGTCAAAACCTTGTCATAACAGACCCGACTTTGCGCTGATAGACTACCACATGGATCTCCGAGGGAGCAATGTCTTTGGGGCTCTTACTGGAGGCTTCCTTCGATTAAAGGGTAAAATTTGCCCGTTTCCTTCGGACGTCACAAGGCAGGTCTCGACGCCCTATAATGACCGTCGTCTATCATACGGGCTATTTTCAGGCGGTATTGGGACTTGCATGCTTGACTGGGGCGTTAGCGAAACCATGGCACCAGCGCCAGAGAGTATGCGATTGATTTTGGTGTCGAGCTGCTGCTCGGCAACAGTGAACTGGGAAAACTTGAAGTATATGGCGAATTGTGACGACGAAGACTTTGACGACTGGATGCCGAGTGATGCGGAAGTTGGCGGCGTGTCATTTCCTGACGGTTACGAGAGTATTGAAACGTGCCGATACTGCGCGGATCCGATGCACAAGCGTACTGGATATGGCCTTGTGGTCCATCCGGCGGAAGAGCCTGGATCGTATGTGAGGGTTGGAGTCTTTGTGATGTTTGCACATAAAGGGGGCATGGATCTCTTCAACGATGAGGAGGAGGAGATAAAACTCATTTAGTTTCACTGCTATCGTCATATACTTTCGAACATGCTGTTAAGATATTGTTCAGACTGGTAAACCTTTCTTAGGTATGAGGACGTCATTGTCAGATTCCCAAGACAAGAACCTGGCTTCGTTAGGGAAATATCGTTTGATCTTCGCACTTTCTCAAAAGACACCGATGAGGTGATGTCGAAGTCTGCGCGATCCTTTGGTCTTGCTACCTAGCATATCTAGATAAGATACCTAGGCCTCCTCTATTTGCGTTTCCACAAAACAGGCGTTACTGAGATTGTTGGGTGATTGAGTAAATAATAGTCACCCAAAAGCTGGATATCAATGTTGATGAACTAAGATCATGTAATCCCTTTGGCGCTCAACTCATGCGTCGTTACATTCTGGGGGACTTGAGCGATTGACTTGTTTATTGAATGCCGAGCAATGCGACATATTTACTATAAGAGTCTTGGACTTCCGTGATTGTGAAAGAACTCGCAGCTCTCTGTATGTCTTTGGTACTCACATGCATCCTTTCCTTACTTTTCTCTCTTTCCCATTTCATCATTTTGTCCATCTCATCTCTTGAGTACTCGTACAAGCAATCCTGCAAGCCACCAAGAGAAACACAGCTAGGGGCCAAAACGAGCATACTTGGTCTTGGAATTGCGAGTGGCCGCAGGGCTTCCTAAGTTAGCACGCACTCCTACCTCATGGATCGCGCGGCATGCTGGCATTCCAAACAGAGTCAACTTGTTGGTATCCCTATCACAGGGATATTGGTCGATTGGTTCGAACCGTGGTTTTGACGAAGTAGGTCAATTGACTATAAATCTATACTGCTGCGTAGGTGTAGAAAGGAGGTTCCAACCGTAGGTTGGACAGGCTGCGATAATCGTAAATAGGGCCCCTAATTGGCCCCTGCGCAGTCGGCCGTACGCCGCGGTCGAATTGGACTTCCAATCCGACACAACTCTACTCAGCTTCTCACAGCCTGCCTAGCTAACGTCCTTGTGCCGCCAGCCCTGTCTTGCCTGGAAGACGCTTGCTTTTTGAGAGGAAATAGGCGAAGGTATCGGCGGCGAAGACCGAGATCGGCAATTATGCTACAAAAAGGGGGCTTCGAGACTCGGTCAAAGTCGATTGCACGCGTGCTCTCCAACGTTGCAACGCGAGAACCCACTCCTCCTCCTACCTGGTCCCTTGCTCAGCACGTCACTCACGGATAGACTAGAAGAGAGCTAGAAAAAAAGTTCCTACACTACGGAAGCTTAACGTTCTCAGTTACTGAGAACATCAGTCGTGGCTATTTCATATTGTCGGCGGCAGGCAGACTCACCATCGAAGAGTGGCTTATCTTTGTCTTGCACTTCAGCCGTACTGAGGCAGTTGCCTCAGATGGAGTTAGCTGTCTCTAGAAGGGGCTGAGGGTTGAGACAATCTGCAGGCTTTGGGAAAAAGCGCCGCGCTTCGTGGAAATTGACCACCGATAGGACCACCGACGGTTTGCCTGGTGAGTGACGCCTAAGACAGCCAATTCTGGACCATCAACTAGGTAATGGAATGGACCATGCAGGATCCATGCTGTTCCTCGTTGATGAACACCATGGGTGCGGATACCTAACAGCGTGTGAGCAGATTCACAAGCACGCTATACACGTGGCGTCGAGAGCGTCAATACCCTGGCCGATTGAAGGCGGGAATATCTGCCCCCCTTGCCGTAGGGAGCAATGGGCGACCATGTTTCAGTCACAAGGCTGATGAGAGCAAGTCCTCTTTGAGAAGTTACTTATGACCTGCAAGCCCCCAGTGTATTTACTCCTGGTTTGATGCTTCTTCTCCCCTTTTAACGCTCTCCGCGGAGTAGGTGTCGAGTTCACTGCCCCGAAACCCAGCCCCTGTCCAATTTCTACTTGTAACCAAGGTTCAAACCTTATTCCTGCTGACAGGTCTCTCCCGGCAACAAGCCAGGCCGCCGCCGAACGAACGGAAACATGCGGGCCTCCTTCGAACAAAATGCCTATCGATACCTGATCTGCAGTCTGCTTCTGCTGCTCAGCGGCTTCCACCAAGCGCACGCTACGTATTACCTCAACCAGGCCGACGGGTACGATTCACTGCCGTCATGTGCCGAGCCGCCCATCAGCTCGATTGTCCGGGACATGGTGGCGGGGTGCGGTGACGGCGGGAAGACGACGTCGTATAGTTGCTTCTGCACGGCGAGTTCCGACAGGTTTAGGGAGATTATTGCGGCGTCGGTTGCGAAGAATTGCGGACGGTCTGGGGTCGAGGTTGAGAGCGCGACGAGCGTGTTTGACGCGTATTGTCAGATGGAAAAGACTGACAAAGTCACTACTTGTGAGTGCTGCCCTGATTCGATCATCGATTTGGTGTGACTCCATGCTGATGTGAAGATATTCAAGCTGCAACTGAAGTGACCTCAACATCTGCAACTGCGACCTCGGCGGTGGACACCGCGTCTGCTTCACCAGTTAGCTCTGGTGGCCTCACGAGTGTTGCGTCACCGACGTCGTCTTCATCACCGGCTACCTCAAACTCCACCAACTCTGGCATATCCACCGGTGCGATTGTTGCCGTGAGCGCTTGTACTTCTCTCGTGGCTATTGCCCTGTGTGCTGCAGCCTTCTTGTTGTGGCGCCGGCGACAGAAGCGCTTGCGACCTGGCCGGGATGCGCATGGCCCTGTTTACGAAGTCAATCATCCGGGCGAATTGGATGGGAGTCAAGAAGCATCTCATGGCGCGGGGGAGTACTATGCCAAGCCGGAGTTGGAAGCCAGGAGCGCTGTGAGGGAGATGCATATTGAGCCAAAAGCTAGGAGGCATCAGTTGGCTGAGCTACAGTGATGTGCGTGTTGATGTCTGGAGCTTGAGTGAGTAAATGGTCACCAACGCAACTCCACCTGATTATTTCTAAGTATACCCGAGTAGACTCGAGCAAAAGTCACTCACATGGTATTGTAAAATTCACTTGGTGCATTGAACTTGACCTGGTAGACTTGTGGCCGAATTCACACAAGGGCGCTTTGAAGACATTATTACATTATTAGACAAGCTACTCTACAATTACTTTAACGTGATTAGACAGCGAATCCACCAGAGTTCTTCTGTCTCGGCTCGCCAGCTGCCTCGAACGTGCCGTTCGGCAGCAGCCTCACACCCTGCGCTGTGCTACCGCCGGGTGCAGCCCAGGTGACATTCGTGCCCAAGCTCGCAAGGTAGCTCGTGGTGCTGTTGTCGTAAGCGTACTCGAAAGCAGCCGTGTTGGGGGTCAGCTGGTCGTGGAAGCGAGGCTCGGCGAGGGCTTGCGACACGGTCAGGTTCCTGTCGAGAACGTTGTGGATGTTCTGGATAGTGGCGGTGATGATGCGGCTGCCGCCGGCCGAGCCGATAACGAAGTAGAGCTTGCCGTCGGGGTGCTCGACAATGACGGGGGAGATGGAGGAGAGGGGACGCTTGCCGGGACGGACGTAGTTGGCCGGGCTGGGGACGAAGCCGAAGGCGTTGCTGGAGCCGGGAATACTGAAGTCGTTCATCTCGTCGTTCATGATGACGCCCGTCTCGGGGACCATGAGCTGGGAGCCGAAGAGGAGGTTTACAGTCGTGGTGAGGGAGATGGCCATGCCGCTGGCGTCGGCGACGGCGATGTGCGAGGTTCCCGGGGTCTCGAGGGACTCAATGCCCTCTGGGTTGTAGTAGGACACGTTATATGTGCGGAAGTCGGAGATCTTGGAGCGGATTTCGGCGCCGACCTCGGGGGAGATCATGCTCTTGGTGTAGGCCGAGAGACCGTCGACAAAGGACGGGTCGCCGAGCTCGGTGCGCTGGCCGTAGGCGAAGCGCATGGACTCGTCCAGTCTGTGGACGGTGTTGTTCCGCGAGGCCGGGTCGCCGAACCCTTCGTATCCGCTGACGATGTTGAGAGCGCTGAGGGCGACGATGCCGCCGGAGGGGGCATTGCAGGCTGTGAGCTTGTAGCCCCTGTACGAGATCTGCGCGGGCTCTCTGATGGCGACGGTGTAGTTCTTGAGGTCGGCCATGGTCATGGTGCCGTTGGACTTTGACAATGCGGCAATGGTCGCATTGGCGATGGCACCGGTGTAGAAGGCGTTGACGCCCTCCTTTGCGATGACCTCAAGCGTGTCGGCGTAGCGCTTGCGCGTGATCGTCTCATTGAGCTTGAGGAGGGTGCCGTGCGGCGCAAAGTCGATGGCCCATGACGGATCATCGGTCAGGAAGTTGCCATTGGGGGTGACTGACTTCATGTATCTGACCAAGTCCTCGTTGACGCGCCAGCCATAGCGGGCGACCTTGACCGCAGGCTCGACTACCTTTGACCAAGGCAGCTTGCCGTACTTCTTGTGCAAATGCTCCAGGCCGCGGAGCTCACCAGGGACACCGCTGAGAAAATCGCCAGGTCAGTCTTGGTGTCGCTTGTTTGCCCTGTCGCAGAGATTCAGCTTACCTAGCGAGACCTCCGTACAAGCTGGCTCTCGTGTTGTTCGTGTACATGTTCTCGTAGGCGGCGGCCGGGGCCGTCTCTCTGAAGTCAATGAACTCGTAGGTGCCATTGCTCGACCTCACGAGCATGAAACCGCCGCCGCCGATGCCGCTGTGGTACATGCCAACGACACCGACACAGAGGACGGTGCCAACCGTCGCGTCGGCAGCATTTCCGCCCTTCTTGAGGAGCTCGGTACCGATCTTGCTGCAGATGTCGGACTCTGAGGCGACGGCACCCAGCTTCGGGGTCGTGCTGTGGCTCGGGGCCGCGAGGGTGGACTGGATGGTGATGCCGAGCAGGAGCTGCGCAAGGGCAGCGGAAGTCAGGGAGAACTTCATGATGAGCCGACAGGGATTTCAAACAAGCTTCTCAAGGTGTCTCGTCTAATTTACAGCTCGTCGAGAAGGAACAGCACGGTGTGACTAGAGGTCCTAAGGGAAAGCAAGCGGCAGTATTGGAACCAAGAACGGCCTGGCAGAACCGAGAGAAACAGGAAACCATCAAGGTAGCCACGAGAAGAAGCTGCCAACGTTTAATATGAACGGAAAACTTCACGCTCTATGGCGCAATCGAGCAGACTCGCCGACTTCGCCCACAAACCAAGGAGGTTATGGACCCGACAGGTTGGGGGGGACGTGGAAAAGGCTCATGGCTTCATTTCGGTAGCCTGCAGATCACCAACGGCAGCCGCTGTACCCTATCGCAATCGTTGGTAATGTCAGATGTGCCCCGTTTCCGTAGATAGGGAAAACCCGATTGCGGAATCGAAAGATGTGTCAAATCGTCCCACGTTCTATCTAGCTTCCCCGCGTGTGTGCCTGTCCGCCTCGCCGTTCAGCAGCAGGGCCCGGCCCGGTTCGTGACGTCGAGCTTCAAAGTTCGGTGAGCTACCAAGGTGTTACTGCAAAGCATCAGCAACCTCTGGAGTCCTGGACTCTGTACCTAGGCACTAGCGCGGGCAGTCTGCAGGAAACCTGCATGGAAGCCAACATGGAGCCAAGAAACAGCGAGTCAAGTGCGTGAGTGGCTGGGATTCGGCGTGCAAACAGTAAGTCAGAACTGTCAGTATCCAAGTCTTCATTGGTTATCTGAGGGGGAAGACCGAGAGAGGGAAATGTTTTGGAGAAATATCGAGCGAAATGCCGGGAGGAATCCACTCCGCAAACAATCGGGCGGGGTTCACCTGAGTTCTCCTGCCAATTCCGGATAGCTCACGGCAACCCCGGTATCGCCGGGAGGAGGCATCCCAGTTCACCGTGGGTCGGATGGGACAGGTACGCGGCGCGCCAAGATAACGAAGCTTACAGTTTATCATTGCTTGAGCTGTCAAGTTGTTGGTTGCACGCGCGGTTCCATAGATAAACTTACTACTATATTTCGATTGTTGTCATTTCATGTACTCTAGTATCTATAACTGCACTTATCTATGTGCTCCTCATACGATGATGGAACCAATGACTTCGCTATGCTCAACTCTCTAGCAAATGCCAATCTTGAGTAGCAGGCTAACAAACAATTCAACACCCCATTAACCTCACAGCTGAAGCTTTTGAGATTGAGTCTGAATGTTTTCATCACTTTCGCAGTAATATAAGCTAGATTTAACTTAATCTGAACCATGATTTACCGCCATTACTGTTTGCAATCGCGATACACAGGTGAACGGACTCCACACAAGTTCCGAGAAACCCGCATTTGAAGTTTACCAAGAATCTAGTAACCATCAGCCGCACGTGTGTAACGAAACTACGCGGCCGCAATTGTAAAATTGTCTCTAAATATCCTGGTAGAGTAGGTCGCTCTGCAAACAAATCTTGGTGACATGCTCCTCTGACTGATCGAACGACCCAGTGCGCCCTCATCATACGAGCTGCCTCACATCCCAGCACTCTGTGGTTCTACCACCCAATACCACCAGTGATCACAAGCCTTCCGAACTTGGGATGATGACGGGGCAATTATGCTCATCCAAATGAAGACAATGTCCGCTGAATGTGACCTAAAGGAGGCCCCGCATTGCCCTAAATGAGTATTTTGGGAAACTTGAAGAGATTCTGACTTAAGTATGACGATTAGATGTTTTTAGAAACAGTACATGGCTAAACGAGACCAATTATTCACTCTGCAGGAAGGGCGTGATTGTGGGGGGAGTTAAGGTTAGGTCCGCATAATAACTGTCTCCCAGCGGACCCATTTGGAAGCTGTTGGCTAGCACGTCAAACCAGGATGAGGTCGCGTAAGAGAAGATACAGGTATTGCTTCGCTTAAAGCTCTCAAGTCAGAATAGAACAATATCGAGTTGATAGTTTGAGAAGAGTCTTTGGTAAAGATTACGTATCGGAATCGGAGAAGCCCGTCGTTGAAGCTGTGCTTCCTGGCCAGACTTGCAGATCCTGATCATTTTGCCTTCGCGCATTCATAAACTTCTCAGTATGGGACCCGAGATCCTTAGGGTGCTCTTGGGGTCTCCCTGAGATTTGAACTCAAGCCAGTCTTTGGACGAAAATCGACTCTCCTCTATCCCAGGTACCGAAGCAGTGGGTGACGTCGAAGTTGAAACTTGTTGAGAAGCAGAGCGGTTTTCGAGTTGGTTTTGACATTGACAATTTCTCGGTACTTAGTAGTTAAGTTTGTCGGGAGTATTTACTAGTACTAACAGTGACAAAGATATAACTAGACGAGACGAACCTGATTGTCATTGAACCAGGATATCCTACATCAAAGGAGCATACTGCAGGTGACTGGCTTACGGCTACAATCATGAGTCAGCAATTCTTACACAAAACTATACAGGCGCTCTAATATCTTTACAACTTAGACCGACGTATGCTACGGAGATATTACAGCGAATCTAGGTAAGTTGACCCGAGAGCTATCAGGAACTTCGACGTATACCAGTAATTACTATATTTCAAGATAAACTGCAGTGGACAACCCATCTAATTTGAAGGTCCTTCGTTTGAATATCTACATATCTCGGAAACAATTATGTGTGCTCCGTTGAGTTCATTCCAAAAGCTAGTTGAACGACTAAATATATTCAATGTTGAAATATGTCACAAAAAGCGGGCCCACTCAATGTGGGCAGCATTAACCACATCCATATCTCGTGACAAAATACACCACCAGTCCTAGCCTCAAGCCATGGCTGAAGGCCCAAACACATTCTCAAGCCTTGACACACTCGACAACTTGTAATTTCTTATCCATACCATGCACCTTTACCATTCTCAGTCCCGCACGGGTGATGACGTCATTAAAAGCAGTGGCCGTTCTCTCCTTGCCAGCAGTATTCAACATCGTAAAGTCTAGCATGCATTCTGAAATCGGAGGCGGATTAGGTATGACATTGTCGGCAATGAGAAGCCTGCTATCGGATGCCATGGCCTCAGCGATGTGTATTAGTATGGTGACACAAGTCTCATCGCCATAATTATGTAGGCATCGACGTATCCAATAAACCAGAGCGTCTGTGAGAAGCCATGAGTCAAGGTTTCTGTGAGTTTGGATAGGATAATGAAGTACTGACGCTTGATAGGCTGCCTCGTATGAAGATCGTGGATTTGTAACTTGGCATCTTTCAGCCACGGATCATTCATTGCGGCTACATGTTTAAGCACATCCTCTCTATCCTCGAGAACGACGCGTTCCGTTGGGATGAATGAGTTTTCCTGCAATATGGCCTTGGTGACGTGGCCATTTCCGGCGCCAACGTCCACAAGTACTGCCCGTTGCTCGTTCATGTTTCGGATTTTCTCCTTGATCCAACTGAAGTTGTACGAGCCGGTGAAAGGGGCCGCATATTGTGCCATTTGCATGGCTTTCTGGAACTGGTCCCTTCTCTTTGGTTCTTGGTAGTAAACTTCGTACGGCGTCATCTCTGGCTGGCCAAATCCAAAGGCCAGTGGTGTTCGGATCTCAGAATCTGGCTCTCGGCGGCCGTACTTCGCGAAGTGTTCCGGCATTTTCACGGAAGGCACAATAGTTCCCTCATACCTAGACCCCTTTTAGCACTGAAAGAATATGACTCAGATAAGGTCTACGTGAGTTCTTACCAGAAACTAAACACGACTGTATCCGGCAAGCCTGGAAGATAGCGTTTGGAGATCTCGGTATGTGCCAACTCCTCTTCACCTACTTGTATCAGTACTCCACGTGCAATCAGATGCCATGCAATCCGTTCTTCAATGTCATTAGCCTCGGTATGCCGCGCAAAACGGAGCCCTTGGTTTTCACTTACGAACCAAAGACTTGTCAGCGTTGAGCTTCTTGGAAAGTTCTTCATCCGAGATAGTTCCACTTGGAGGAATTGCTTCAAACGCGTTCCAATCAATAAAAAGCTTCATGGCAACGAACTCGCCGAAGCCATTGACCCTTGTAGTCCAGTCGGGCATATCAGGCCGGGCAGCAGCGATGACCCGTTCCGCAATTTGTGTAATCTTTTCATTCATCTCAGATTGCTTTAATGGGGATTCAATGAGAGCAGAAAGCTTTCCGACAAGGTCGTAAAGCAGCTCAGTGATGGAAGACATCTCTGGAATGTTGATATTCTAAAAGTGAGCAATAGGGTAGCGATCCTAGGTAGCAGGTCTTACGGCTCATACTGCTGAGTGCGCACTGGCTTTATACAACCCAAGTGAGTTGATATAGAGTTCTCTGCATCTTATGAATCAAACAAAATGATGGTGTGTGGCTCCCGCGTTTTCGTGCTTCTCGCGTTTACGAGAGGAAGCCCCCGGCGAGTCCGAAACCGATGGGGCGCAACGGATGAACTCAGTATAACACGAAGTGGGTGTCAATACTGAAGTGCATATCTCCGAACCAAGTCAGGATCTCATTGCCGGGTTCATGGGCGTTCGATATAGAGAGCAGTATCACAGCGATGATGGGGGCGTACGTTCTTCTCTCGATATGTGGTCTCGATAGTGTAGAAGTTCATAACTTCCGTGGCAACTTACAGAACTGTCCCTTCGCACTTCCTCATACGCCGCAATCTAAAATCACACGCTTTACTTCTATTACGAATACACTATAATTAGAGTCATGATGAATGATCAACCGGAAGAAATCAATCATGTAGAGGACTTGAAAATACTATGCACGTCTGGTGTGACTCATGGTAACGGTGAAGCACGCTTGTAATATGTCATGTCAGTGATCCCGCCACATTTGCGAATTTGACGATCTGAACATGAGTGATGAAGTAGCATAATTGGCTTGTTCAATCTCTATTCTCAATGCCTCAACTGCGAAGGTATCCATAAGTTACTATACAGAAACGAACACAATGATCACCCAAAATTCCACTCACCACTGCATCGGAGGTTGATGGGAGTTTAGAAAGGGGATTGCGTATGCCAAGCTCAGATATTGAATCAGACGAAGTATAACCCAATGTTGTTTCTCATGGACCCCGCGGATTTGCCAGGAACGGTCTCTTTAGTGAGACATCAACATGAGCCTCTGCTCATGGTTGTATAAGCTGAAACAGTATATGTGCTGTAATACTGCAGGAGATGCTCGAAGTAGAGCGTTCAATGCGTGAGAGATCAGATCATATCAATGAGCCGAGTACCCCCCATCAACGCAAATGGTTTGCCCTGTGACAGTAGCACTTGCATCACTCGCCAACCATACGGCAACTCCGGCAAAGTCCTCGGCCTTGCCATTACGTCCAGTCATTGTCCGCGCCGCATGTGTCTCCGCCTTCTCCGTATCCGAAAAAACCTCTTCCGTCATCGGAGTGTCCACGAGTCCCGGCGCAATGGCGTTGCACAGAACCCCGCTCGGCGACCAGGCCTCGGCTTGAGAGCGCGTAAGCGACACCAAACCGCCTTTTGCTACACCATAAGCACCGCTGTTACCAAATGCGCGGAATGACTGCTGGCTGGCAAGATTGATAATGCGTCCGCTTCCGCGCTCTGCCATTCCCGGGCCGAATGCTTGGCCTAAGGCAAACGGGGCAGTTAGGTTCGCGGCGATGGTGTAGTCCCAGTCTCCTTGTGTTATTCGTGACAATGGCGGGCGGTTGTTGACGCCTGCTGCGTTGACGAGGATGTCCGGTATACCGTGCGCGGACTTGATGCGAGCGCTGGCGTGGTTGAGGTCTGCTAGGTTGGCGAGGTCTGCCGTGATGGACGTCGCGGGGACACCAAGTTGTGTCAGCTGATCGACTGTCGCTGCCAGAGGTTGTGGTCTCCGTGCAATGAGTATGATTTTTGCGCCGGCTTGACCTAAGGCGAGGGCAATTTCTTTTCCGATTCCTGAGCTACCACCAGTGACAACCGCTGTTCTGCCCGCCAGACTGAAGAGGCGGGTGAGGTAGGTCGGCAGAGTGCTGAGATTTCTTGCCATTGTCCAGAGTGTTCTAATCTTACCTGTTCAGTAAGAAAATAAACCAAAATGACAGAAATTAATATGAAAGATGTAAGAGTTATCGACTTTATGTGACAGTAAGTACGGTAGAAGGTCGGCCTTTACTGTGAGTCGAGGTGGAGATGTACATGGCGTATTCTTGAAGTGTGACTCTAAGTCATGTGTGTGTGACTAACCGACCCTTGTAAGTCAATTCTGGGGTTAGTGCTTCGAGGCGAGAGATTTCACATGCAGCTACCGGCGTTCATGATACACTTAGAGTGAACTAGGACGCCTGCAACACCCGATACTCCAACTTTTCTAGGTGGAAAATATTGCACGTGACGGACATCAGTTCGGGAGACGATGAACAGCACCAGTGTTTACTACTCAAGCCCTTGACTGGCGAGATTGGCTTGCATGCACAGGTGAGTTTGGCTGCCAATTGCAAATCCGGCCCAATGCACGGTGGAGGCTGGGAACAGCATGCACGAATGGTATGCAGCAGCAAATGAGAAGGATAACTGCATCATTGGATAAAGTCGAAGTCTCTAACCCGCCGAACAGGCATCTGTATATTTGGTTTATTTTCAAAATGCGACATAATCCTCCAAGCGCAGAAGTAAGCGCTTCTTAAGATGTGTATGAGAAGCTCCGGAAGATCGTGACCTAGCGCTAGGCTAGTTCAGGTGACGGTGTCAAGCGCAGTGGCACCTGTCAAGCTAACTCCGATGCTGGCCCCAGATGCGGGGGTTAGCTCAATTGCATTCGTGTGTGGCATTTCGGGACTTCTATGATCAGTTGAAACTCCAGATGTTGACTTCAACCTGTGTATGAGAAATTGGGAACCTTACCACCTTAAACGCCCGGAGAGACTTGAGGGAGACCGCCGCAGAGAAGTATGAAAAGCTATCCGGGGTCTTGCCAGAAGGTCGCTCGAAGATGAAGTAAAGGGGAAGGCTGCCTTTGAGTAACTAGCTAAATACATACGTCTACGTGATGGCACATGACATACTTGAACGAGGAGTTCCACAAGCGCGTATAAGATCATGTTGTGATTGTGTGGTTTCTTATTGGATCTATCGTACTGGATGTTATTATCCAACACTACTACAATGTCATGCCCTCGAAGCATTCATCTCTCATTAATCGTCTAATCGTCAAGCATTCCCGTCACTTTCCATAGAACCACATACTACCCAGTGCCCTGAGACTAGAACGGCGGCAGACAGTTCAGTGCAATGAACTGGTTCTTGGGACTGGCATAGAAATGGAACGCAAACAGCCACAAGTATCCGATCGACTTCCCAACTCTTCCACTCATCTTATGATAGAACCGAGGGAAGTAAGTCTGAAGGCCATAGAGAAAGGCCGTTTCCATGATCATCGCGATGTAGTTCAACATCCACCACCAGACCTCCACACCAACGTGGCACTTGATTCCGCAGATATACTCAGTGCCAGCATGGAAGATACCACTAAGGAAGAAGATGAGTCCATTCAGGACCCAGCGAGTCTTTCCCCGGAAAGGTCGCTGACCTACGCCAAGGGTAGTCAAGATCATCTCGCCCAATCCGTTAGTGGTGCGGTAGATGAGTCGATCGAAGTATTTGCTCCAAAAGCGCCGGAGATTCCAGCCTTCGCGGATATCGCCGAAGACCGGAGGCCACTCTTCGGGTTCATCAATGTGAAGCGCTACGAAGAAAAGGGCGACGGTTGAGTGGATGAAGGTGTACCAGTAGAAAGCGCCCCAAACGCCCTCGAAGGCGAAGTAGCAGCGGATAACCACCTCCCGTAGGTCGGTCTCATTTCGAAGGAGACGGCGGAAGTAAGAACGTTTGTGGGGGGCAATGTCTTCATGGGAATACCAGGCGTACGTGTCCCAAACGTAGTCCTTGACACGTTCCAAGATGAAGATGAGAGTGATCTTGGCTATCGTAGCCATGATCCAGCGGTTTCTTGGACTGAGAGAGTTCCAAAAGCGAGCAAAGAGCTGGCTGGTTTTGTTCCAAGCGTTATGGCTGACTCGAAGTACAAGGTAACGGTAACTATTGATCCGTTCGAGCACACTTTTGTTGTTGTTTGCCTCAGCCGAGCTCTGATCCAAATTTTCATTGTTGATGGTGGCTTTCTCGGCGGATGTCTCTTCGATCGTAGCTGTGATGGATGCTTCTGCGAGCTGCCTCTTGCGCTCTTCGTCTGCCATGATCAAGTGGAGGACAGGAGCCGGACGACTGGTGTTGACAAAGCGTGCGTTCCACATGAGTTTGTAGGTGGCGAGGATGCGTTGTCCCCAAGGAAGTTTCTTTTGCTCTTGAGTAACGGCGATATCTTCCCATAGCATCATAACAGCTGCACCCATGTTTTGAATGACGAGTACCTGAACAAGGGTGATCTTGACAGCGTAGAAGATTGGTAGGTTGGAGACTTGTTGAATGATAGCGGCTGCCAAGGCGAGGGATGCACCGACGAAGGCTGTGCGATATCGGCCATTGGAGTTGAAGGCGATTGCGAGAGAAGCCAAGTTGAGAATGTAGATCAGAGCTGGGTAGAAGAGTATGTCTGTCTGAATCAGATATCTCTGTGACCGGATATGGTCGAGAAAGTGGTTGGCCAATGATTCCCATATTCCAATGGGCTCGCCGTACATGTGATCCCAGTCTGAATCTGTCCAATTCCATTCGGGGCCAGTGTAGTTCCATAGGCTTGCCTGTTCCTCAATAGTAGGCGGCATGATATCCATCTTCGGAATAGAAGCTATAGTTGAATTGATATCCATGGCGAGATTATCGTCCAGGGGTTTCCAAAAACAATGGCAGAAATGTGCTTCAAGTCTGTTACTTGCAGGCAGACTTGCGTGGCTCAGACGGATATCTCAGGGCGTGGAAATGTGAATGGAGGATGGGTTGAGCATTGATGTGCGACTAATAGAGGATGGGAGAGCGCTTCTTATAGGGTCAGAAACCTGGACCTCTTCCTTGGAATGCAAGAGAGTTTGGCCGTTAGACGGCGCACAAGTGTACCTTACCTTACTGGCTGGTAGACTTCAAACCTTCAGTCTACATGTATGGCTTCATCCTGACCGGGAGTTTTAACTGGAGAACAATCGGATGGGTATGGATTCAAGGGTAGCTCCGATAGGATTGAACAGACTCAAAACACATTTCAGTGATGCACC